GTATATTTCACTTTATTAAGTAGAGGACTGGATTGTTGCACACATGTCACCTAAATAAGTCACAGGATGTTATCGCAACTGCACACACACACACCAACACAAAAGCTTCAGAGCTGGAGGGTGTTTCTGCACCCTGCAGGTGATCTGGAGCATGGGAAGAGGAATAAACAATGCTGGTGAGGTCAGTTTTGTCTCTTGTCCACCAGGGAAACAAAGGAACCATGTAAACCAACCTGCAGATCACAGAGTGAAAATGTTGTCCATGGATTGACTAGGGGTGAAAACCCTAGGACAGGTGAGCATGACAGGAGAAGTTACTGAGGGGGATTATTTTGATATTATATTTTGATATTATTATATTACATTATATGAAGATTATTTTGAGACAAGGCAGCTTGAAATGGACTTTTTGCTAAGCCCCGTCCCCTTTTTATACTTTTGCCACGCAAGCTTTCCATTCTTGCATGGCTCATGTACAATTTACAATGATAAGAGTGGCAGATTTAACACCTCAAACCTTTTGTAACTTTTTAATCCCTTTTAGGTCATTGATTTCACACACAGGTAGTCCAAAGGATGAGTTATCATTTCTGCAACTGCTGCAAAGTTTATTGGATAATTATGCAACTTTTTTCTTAGATATCTGGATATCTAGATGCCTGTATATCTGAAAAACTTAGGCTAAAGCTGCAGGAAGTCATCACCCTCATCAGTTAATGATACATGTAGAAGACATGTTGATAAAGAAACAGCACTGTTCTTGCACTGCATGGTAGAGCTAGTTAGTTCTAATATTTTTAATGTTATTAATTAAGTATGATAAAGCAAAATCTAAGATGATACTCATATTACATTGTAACATTAACATGTTTGTCTGCTTTGCTTCCATACTTGGACACGCAGCTGGGACAGAGGTTAGACTTATGCTTTACTGTTTGTATTTTCAGTCAGCATTACAAGAGAAAAGGCTTTTTAGGTGAGGATTGACCAACCGATGTGTTTGGCGAATGTAACGCTATCTAGATAATGAGTTTGGCTTGAGTTACTGGAATATAAATCTACACAACGCAGACCACAGCTGCTAACGTTACTCTTATATAGTAGTGAAAAAAAGTGTATAAAGGTTTCTCCCACTTCCACCCTGTGATAGAGTGCTGAAGGAAAGACCACAGGCTTGTCCATTTGAGGGCTGTCTTTCAGTTGCCAGCGCTTCTAAGAAATTCTCCCATGAGTTTATATTCCCATTCAACCCTAAGCCTTCGGTGAAACAGCTAGACCAGCTACTTCCACAGGTCACTGCCCTGGTGGAAGCCTGGAAAACACGTAATAGAAGGGTGGGATGAGATGGGATTGTGTACTGCAAAACCCCATGCGCCACAGTGATGTAATGTTGTAATCTATGGTTTTTTCTACAATATTGTTAGCATTAAGGTTCGCGTGAGGGTTTTAATCATTGCACAATTAAATCTAAATGACCATGTCAGCTTGTAGGTGTTCAATGCTGCTGCAGAGTGAATGATGCCATTGTAAAAGCCCTGAAAAGGGGAGTAGTTGAATGAAAGATGCACAGACACAAACTTTCCTCAGATCATGTATGTAATGACTGTATATCAAAAACGAAGGTTACGATATGGTAACCCTAGTTCTATAAGCACAGGCTCCGCCCTCTACTGGACTCTATGGGTACTACCTCCTCCAATCACACGCACGCACTTGCCCACTGAAATTTTATCGTGCACCTAGCCAACCAATAGGACGCCGCTACCGATATGTGCGTGACGTATAAATAGCAGTGTCCCTAATGCCTCAGCATCCTTTTTTCTTCAGCAAACGGCGAACTGCTCACTGAATTCACCACCTCCACGGATGGAGTCGACACCAGATTACCCATGTCCTGCCCGGACAAGTCCAAACCCCCCGCCGAGTCCAGGCCCCCCCGCCAGCCGACCTGCGGCTGGGGAAGGGAGCGAATGACCAACTCACCGTCATGGAGGGAGAGAGGCCTGCTGACGCCGCTACAATCCCCCGTCTGATGTTCAAGAAGAGTTTTGAGCACTTCCGGAAGCATCTCATGGAGACGCACCCGGTGCATCTCACACAGACACTAAAGCGTACCTTTAGCGTCAAATACCTACGCTTTGTCACTCTTTCTCAAATCGTTGCTATATGACGCCCTGAGATGAGAACGGGCTGAAAAGACTCATACCTGAAAAGGGGAGTGGTTGAATGAAAGATGCACGGACCCAAACTTTCCTCACATCATGTGTGTAATGACTGAAGGGAGGAAGCGAGGTGCACAGTAACATAGCTCAACAGTTTTATGTTCCCCCTGCTTGAGCCATCTAGTAACTTCAACACACTTAACAACACTCTACCGCTGCTGTTGTTGTTAGAATGACATTTTGTACATGAAAAATAAGAAATTAGTAAAGTACTGTACTGTACTTACTGCAACTTACAATAACAACTTGAAGCATAGAATATGAAATACCATTAAAATATGACAATGGCAAAATTACTAAATATGAACCCATAAAGTATTGCTCTACTGCTTACTCAAATGCTTGCTATGACTTACTGGTAAAACACATTATTTCCATGTGTCACACCATATTTAACGACAATCATGGAAAGTAATTTAGCAAACAGTTTGGACTAAGTTTGGACTGAAACTAATTGGATCTCCTCCCCTTGAGCAAAGCGCAACCTTGAACTTGAACTTGACACTTTATAACACCTGCCAAACAAAACGCAGTCATACAGAGGACTGGACAGACAGCACAAGCAATAAATCTTCATTTACGTGATGGTCACTGAGGTGTGACAAGCTGGCTTCCAAAAGACGGAACTAGATCAAAGACTGGGCAAAGATAGAGACAGCGGGAAGGTGATTCACCTCTGAGGAAAAGTTCTGTGCAGACGGGTAACCTAAAATATAAATGACATGTTTGCAAAATTTTGAATCAATTTGGAACAAATGTTTAATTCTGTATTCCTTTGAAACTCCTGATCCACTTTAATCTCCATGCTGTGCCTTAAAGTGCAATGTATAATTATTGAAATACATCTGGTCCAAACCAGCTTAATGTCAGAATCAGCTCTTCAGTGCAACTGGACCATGCACCATTCTTGCAATATTCAACACTATTAGGTTCAGTTGGGAGCTTTTTTCTCCAACCCTTGAGAGCCTAATAATGTCTCAGAGTCATGTACAGGCCACTGCAGTTATTATTGACAAGACAGTTCCTCAGGATGATGCGGTTTCCAGTAGCACTAAATATTTTCCATTCTGTCTTCAAGAAGCCATTTTGGGCAGCTGTAGCTAAGGCTTGGAAAATGTTGGCAGGCATCTAAGTAAGAAACTCTCCTCATTCCCCTAAACAGCCAACAACCAAGATACACTGTAGATGTTCTTGAGTGACACAGTAGTGTGCTGTTGTTTTTAAAAAAGTGAAAGTTTGCCGTTAAATTCAGAAAATGTCTGTGCATTGTTCACAAACAGGGTGCAATTTCCTTTCCCATCTTAAAATGATTGTGCACATTAAGGACTAGAAATAGACAGCAAACTGAAATTAGCATGGTGAAAGGTGTGAAGGCAGGGGGGTGGATTGAAGCGTAGCATTCAGAATGCATTCAAAGAGTTTCCCATAACTTTTCCCTGACCAGTTAGCTGTCTAAACTCTAATATTAGTGTATTTGCCTAGTTTTAACTATTTAACAGAACATCTGGTTGTGTATGTGTCACATAGATCCCCAAAGGATTTCTGCCATTGTTTTAGAATGTATGCTCATTGCACAGACTTTTTTAAGACATTAATTGAGCAACAACGCCCCCAGTACTGGGGGCAGCACGTGATTTTTGCACAAAATGCAGATTGAGCCATTCATGTCTGAAACTATTATTGCATTCAAGCGGGAAGCTTGAATGCAATAATAGTGCCCCCTCCCCCCATCACTGTGGGATGTTCCATTCTCAAGTTATATGCCTGTAAAGCATGGGAGTGCTTTTTTTCATAGGAATGTTGATGAATATTGAATATTTTTATCAATAGTTCAATGTTTAGGAAACTTAATGTTAGTTGGAATGTGGTTGTACGGACAAAAATAGTGTTTTAAAAATAACTCCCAATTAAAGTCAATATTTAAACAGTAAATATTGCCAAAATATGGACATTCGCCTGGTATATTGAAAAAAACAATGTATGTTTACTGTTGTATTTTAGTTTATTTTCATTAAATTTACAGTTACCATAGCATTCCAGGTGTATTAAAAAGATATTCATTTGTATTATAATCTATTTGATGGTTAATTGCATTAAAAATATCATATTTTTCTTTATTGCATTTCCATTTAGTCTGTAATGGTAAAATGGATTTATATTCCTTAGTTTCTGACCTTCCAAAGGAGACCAGAATTATGCATCTAGGCCAAATGGTTGAGGAGTTATTCCTGATTCATTTTAGGAATGTTATTTTAGGCGTTTCAAAGCTGTTACATCGCCTATTATACCTTTAAAACAAACCAAAGAAGAATAAAATAAAATAATAATATGGACTTGCAAACCAGACTATTGGAAGGCACAGCTAAGAACGAGGGTTTTCAGCTATCTTTTTAGACTTGTATCTATTGAAATTACACTGAAAAGTTACTTTACCACACAGGTGTTTGACTATCACTCAAAGCTTTCTATATGCAGCACACTTCATTTCTACACGTAATGTGTGAAATGTGAACACGTGCGTTAATTCTGATGAATACAACAATGTCCACAATCAGACTCCTCGGGTGACTAATTACAATGCCACCAGATCTCAATGTGTGGTCCAATTCCAGAACGCGCCTTACAACAGAGACTCACTTGGTGAATTAATCGTGACGTTGTGATTATTGATTTGTGGTAAAAAGGCTGTGGCATGGTCCGCAGCTATAAGCTCATCAGTGTCCGAAGCGCGCAAAGAAGCGCGCGCGCGCCACTTCTGGTCGCCTCTCCTGGGGGGCAGCAACGATGCCGGAGCCGCCTATATAAGAGCTTCCAAGATGCCACTAAACGGTCATTCATGCGCTTGCTGCATGCGCTTTTGAAGACATCGCCTCTGCCTGCACCGTGTAACGTGCGCTCTCACATGTAGACGCACGCTCTCCAACAGCTCAACATTTCTGGCGGATTTCTCCTCTCCCCTGCTCTGCCATGCGCGTCAACCACCGAGGACTTCAACAAAAGAACTTTATCAAAGAAGAGTCCCAGGGTGCAAAGGACGCTCCGCAGCGCGTTTAGTGACCACATCTTTGAGTGCGGCTGCTCAGGAGTGTCTCCACATGAAGTTGTGAGTGTGAGAAAAAGAGAGGGTAGCCTACATTTTGGGCATGGACAATGGATACTTTAAGTCTCTCAGTGAACGCTGTGTCTTACACTGTGGCAGCTGAACTCTCCACTACTAATAATCCGTTTAATGGACCAATCAACAACATAGAGCCATGGAACTTCACGATTCTGGCCGTGCTCATGTTTGTGATCACCTCGCTGTCTCTGAGCGAAAATTTCCTCGTCATGTTTGTCACTTTCAAGTTCAAACAACTCAGACAGCCCCTAAACTATATTATAGTTAATTTGTCCATCGCTGACTTTCTGGTCTCCCTCACCGGTGGAGTAATAAGTTTCCTGACAAACTCCAGGGGTTATTTTTTCCTTGGAAAGTGGGCTTGCGTCTTGGAGGGGTTTGCTGTTACTTTTTTCGGTAGGTTTACCTGTCCTCCCCCTCCCCTTTTTTTAAGATACTGTCATTGCAGGGCTGCATAACACCACTTCCATAACTGTAGGTGTCAGTGTTTGAGCTCTTTATATTTATACTGCAAAGATGTGCGATGACTGTGAGACAGCTCCACATGGGAAACCCTCCGACTTCCATCAGCACTGACTTCAACGTCTTTTCATAATTAAAGCATCTGAGAGGGACATAACCCACAAAGACAGAAGCACATTAAGATTCTTTAAGGCAGAATTCAAATCCATGCTCAAGAGACATAGGCCTACATACACACTGCAGAACAATAAGTAGGTTCCCAGCACAGTTACCACTAATAATATTTAACTAATCAGTGCATTGGTTTCTGGTCTCTGTTGAAGCCCTAGGCTTAAGACAGAGGTTACCAAAGTGGGATCCTGGGTGTCTGGTGAGTACCCTGCATTGCTGGAAATCAATGAAAAATAGAATACTTGACTGATTCAGGCAAAGGCTCCATATTAGATTTGGTAATATGGTTTGTGCATCCCATTTTGGCAACAGGAAGTCGCAGGATGTCTTTATTGTGGTGCTTTAATGAGACAGTATCAGTGAGTTACAATATTCCATATGGAACTTTGTCAGACCTACATTACACTGAGTGTTAGTTACATTCAGTAAGCCTGGGGAATAGACTTTATATACTAATGCTAAAGTTACAACAAAATCCCCAGTATTTAAAGTACACAAGAATCATAACCTGGAGGAATGCTCCGCTTAATATTCTGCTCAGGTTTTTTTTTATTTCTGTCTATTTTGAGGTTTTCTGCATGCACCTGTGCTTCACAGATTAATACATGAAAACTTATGGTCAGTTTTAGTCTACTTTAAAAAGTCACAAAAATTGGTGTTACTTTTATTAGTGAACTTTGCAGAGGTTCTTGTTAAAATTCAATTGAATTTTATTTATAATTGACCACCCTGGTTTCCACCGCTCTCTTCTGTCCTCTCCAGTGGGCTTAGTAGGCAGACTCTAGGAGTACCTGGCTGTGGAGAGATAGGTGATTAACCAGTCTGTGAAAGCAACATATTACCATAATTAGTCAGCTTTTTTTTTTAACCCATTAGGAGGCAGCTTAATGTACCCACCCTGGATCATTAAACTATTTCTAGCAACAGTCCTGCCATGCTTACCTTTGCACTGTACTGAAATGGAATAACTGTAAGTATGAAAAATTAAGAAAGTTACAGTACAGGGGATGTTTTATACAGTCTACGGTCTTAACCAGGCATTCCCAGTTGGATTCATTCCAAAAGCAGTGATATAATGAAACTAATTACATTTCACAGCAATCTGAAAGAGATGCAAATATACACATTATATGCTCAGATACTGTGACATTCCAGAAAACTATTTCTTTAGGTTTATTTCAGTTATCAAATAAAAAACACGGAGCTGTGATTTTTTTTTAAATAGTTGTGTTGTGTGTTTCTGACTGCTGTCGTCGCACTGGGCTCCTACACACTACCTCCTGCTGTTTGCTTCAGGGATCGTGGCCATGTGGTCCCTCGCAGTCCTGTCCTTTGAACGATTCTTTGTGATCTGCCGGCCTCTGGGAAACATCCGGCTGCAAGCGAAGCATGCGTTCCTGGGTCTGCTGTTCGTCTGGACCTTCTCCTTCATCTGGACCTTCCCTCCAGTGCTGGGCTGGAACAGATACACTGTAAGCAAGATCGGAACCACCTGTGAGCCTGACTGGTGAGAAATGAGCATTTTATTATCTCTGTAACCCACAAAGAGTTGGAACTGTTAAAACTGTCAGACAACAGAGAAAATTTGACCTCACTTGAATCACACAAATTATTTTTCACACGTAATCCTTACTGTGGATGTTTCTGTTGTGCAATTTATTAGTACCTGAGAAAATAGCCCAATGAAAACTGCTGACAGTGAGGTTTTATGGATTATTGATTGGAACAGGTACATATTTTCTGGAAAGTCATTTTTAGTGCTTTGGTCAGCACAAACAAAATTCTATTCAGCTCCATTTTTGGGGGGTGGCACTAGTTTTGGAGTATAACATTTCAGAATCCTGCCACAAAACTGTGGATTAAGTCAGACTATTTATTTTTGTGATTTAAATGAAGTGAGTTATTTTAGCCCACCTCGTACCTTGATGTAGAACAAATTGGTGTTTTTTGTTCATGCGGTTTTTGAGTCACAGCCGCATGTACTGTATGTGCTACTGTATGTAATGTATGTGCTGAAACAAACTTGTTTGTTTTTCACACCATGCGCATGAAATCACACACTCATTTTCCTTATAACTTTTAAGAAGGAAAAATGTATCCTAAATTAAATCCTGCTTTCCTAACCTCGAACAAAACCAAACTTTAAACCTATGGTAGTTGATTTTCTTGGCCACTTGGGGGCAGCACATGAAGCTGTAAGGTTAAAGGTTCAGCTTTATTGTCGTTATACAAACAGGATTCCACAGTGAAATAGAGTTGTAGGTCCCTCCATGCTACACCCACAGAAAATGAATTTAAAAAAACATTGTCACATGGGGCATTGACTTATGCAGGGTTGCTAAATTTACAGTATCTTTCAGTTTCTTACATGCCAGGGTTTAAACTTCTTATTAAAAAGAGAAATAGAGCTAGAGCACCAGTCATGACAGTGTGGCACCATAAAAATGTAATATAAGGCTTACATACTTTGTTCTTTTAAAACCTCAGAAAGAAACCTTACCTCCAAAAGAAGGCTACTTACAAAAGAAAACAATGCACATTTAAAAATACAGCTCCAAATCAAACTAAAATCTTATTCTTATTCATATTCTAGGTTTGGGGCAGGCGTGTGCTACTCCAGTGCATTGCTGCCTCTCAGGTTTAAGGGTCCAGTGTGTAATATTTAGGAGGATCTATAATATCTAAGATCTATATAATATTCATAACTATGTTTTCAGTGGAGTATAAAGACCTTATATAATGAACCGTTATGTTTTTATTACTTTAGAATGAGCCATTTCTATCTACATACACAGCGTGTCCTCTTACATGGACATTACCATGTTGTACCAGCATGTTTCTGCAGTATCCCAAAATGGACAAATGGTTTTCAGAGTGCGTTTCGTCACAACAATGAATACGTACAAAAAGAACAAGACCAAGTAGTAGTAGTATTCAACTGGTTTGTTAGAAGTAAGAAAAGGAGAGAAATTTGGACAAATGGAGGCCAACACATATTATTTAAGAGCCGACAGAGCGTCGGCCACCGTAGCTTCTCCTACTCTCTAGGAAGGGGAGGAGTGAGTGGTGCGTTCATGTGGTTTTTGAATAATCAGAATCTTTACTTCCTCTTTAATTCTTTATTGCACAAAGAAAAATAAAGTACATGGGACATAAAGAAGTATACAGAAATAAGTATTCGTGCAAAATCCCGTATTGCATTTACATATTTTGCAAACATGTAATTTGTAATACGGTTATAACGGTTAGATTGCTGTCCATGTAGAGTGAACTAGACGACTGCGTGTTGTTTGTATGCTCTAATAATGCTAATCCAACACAGCTTTGTAACAGCCTTAATGTTGATTACACACTGCAACTTAATTTTCTGGCACATGTATCATGTCCAGATGTACAAAAAAGCCTCTTGCAGTGATTCCCTAAACCCAACAGGAAGTCATTTTTTAAAGGTTCATTTTGGGTGATTTACAGGCTCCATACTTTAACAAACTCCTCCTAGAGAATTAGTCTGATCGACAAAAAATCTTTGCTGTACAATCTAAAGGCACGGTGAAAAGTTGTATAAACTGTGAGTTTTTGCTGAAGGGTGTGTCCGCAACTTGGCGTCAAAAATTGTTGATTTGCAATGAAACAGGAAGTTGTTGTAACTTCACTGTACATCAGTGGTTGGCAATAGGCGGCCCGCGGGCCAGAACCGGCCCGCCAGCAATAATATCTGGCCCGCGGCCAGATTGCTTTGATAGCAGAAAAATAAAAAATAAATAAATTGACATAAATTGATCTCAGTCATCTCAGACAGCAACAGTTACTCACATAACCACTTCCTCTTAAGTGATTGTGCCTCCAAAATAAAAGCACAAGAGCGTATTTTGCAGCAATGCTTAATGTCAAGTTTGTTAAGAGCTTTAACTGAAGGAAATTCAAAAGAGTCCTGCTTGACACACCTCTGAAAAAGCCGTCAGTAAACGTGTGATCGGATTCCCCTGAATTTCCTCAGGGAAAGGAAAATAAGTGTCCATAGGTTTATGAATGCGGATCAAACACCGGAAGGCGCACACACTGCAGCACATGCTTTATGTGAGCCTGTGCAAAAGTGTCCTTTTATCCACTTTAAAGCTTAATAGATTGATGATGCTGTGCAGGAAGGTTCCATGCTTTGCCATTAAACAGGAAGTTGTTGTTACTTCACTGTACATGCTCAAATCTGTACCAAACCGCCCTGAACACATCTACGTCCCAAAATTCAGTAATAGTGTGTTGAACACTAGAATGGAGGAGGTGTGGTCATCCATCCGAACTGTCTAGGGTCTGTTTGTGAGAAAGTCCAACATCCAGTTCCAGAGTGTGGTATTTAAGCGCAGAGTACTAAGTATGCCAGTCAGTTTCATGGGATTGATTGTGTTAAATTCTGAGCTCCTGAGCTCCAATCAACAGCATTTCTGGTGTAGGTGTTATTTTCAAGAGGTGTGAGGGCTGAGTGGAGGGCAGTAGAGATGGCCTCTATGGATCTGTTGGCTCGTCATGCAAAACTTGTGAGAGTCCAGGCTGGCTGAGATGTCCTTACAGGGACAAAGGTAACCGTTTATTCACATTCCCACTTAGCAGGGTTCTTCTCACATCCGCTAAGTATACTGAGAGTGGACAGCCCTTTGTTGGCAGGACATGACTTGGCAGCTGACTCTTTGTTCAGGAGATCAAAGCAAGCATAGAAAGTGTTAAGCTCATCTGGCAACAAGGCCTCACACATGATGAAGTCAGTCCTGCTTCTGTAGCCTGTGATTTGTGGTCTGATTTCTTGTTGCTGGGATAGTCTGTAATGTCAATCTTACTTTTTTGGGACCAGATATCAGCCAGGAGTAGGCTGGGTAATTGGTTAGACATAGGTCCGAGTCCAAGTTGTTATCCCAGTTCTCTTCCCCCTCTTCCTGCGGTGGTTGTTGCACTGCTTGCTATGGTGTTTGGTCCAGGATAGGCCTGGATGGTACTTGTTGTGGGCATTGATCTTTCTGCTGCACTTAATGCAATCCCTGCACTTACTATTCCGATGTTGATGGGTATAGGTCATACATTGTACTATATGCTTTGGTAAGTACTGCGAAAAAGAGCGTGTCTACACACACTGCCCTCTTGTCCAAAATAAAAAACAACACAGACTTAGTATCACTTTATAACGCTGATATGGCTAATGTCTACTTACATAACCAGCAAAGCCGGAACAACATCCAGAGCAACTGTAGCATTCATTTGGAGTAGTGTTTCCTACCACCTTGTGAATATAAATCCATTATTCACTTCCCTCTTAGCTCTGTTTGGGTCCGCTGCTAAATGCTCCATTGTGTTCACAAGCTAGTCGCTAACTATGTCTTTTGTTTGGTGCCTGGTAGCGACACTAGGTTTATCCACACTTTTTTCCTGAAAACAGCTGCCTGCTGCGGCTGCCAACGAGGTTGATGAGAGCAGTGAGAATGAACCAAAATAGGTATGTTGTGGGTTGTATAACCAAAAGAGCTGAGCTGAAAGAGGCTAAAACACTCCATAGGGGTGAGGGTAGCTGCAGAGTCGGGTAATTATTCTTTGTGGGTTCATCATTATGACCACTTTACATTGCACATTGATTTGACCCATTTGTAATACTGTTGATTGCAGTAGCTTTAAGCTAACTCCTACTCCTAACCATAATACTAAGGTGATAATTATGCTAACACTGGTGACTCAAGCTAACCTTTTGCCAGAATAACTCCATATTAAGGATTTTCCTTACCATACACCTTGCACACAAACAGACTTATTTTATTTTAGTATTATTTTAGATTGTACTCTCAACTCTGTGACTCAGATCCAAATAGCTGCTTCAGCTTTGCTGTGAATGTATCTCATGAAAAAGTCAAGAAACAGGTCGGCTCTGACATTGGCCCTCCTGGTGCCATTTGGGTTATGCTATTTGTCTGCTTTGATCAAAGACGTCCAGATAGGGGGCTGAGTGTTTGCCTCAAGCCCTGTAAGGAAACCATTGCTCAGATGAAGCATAGAGGGAATTAACAGTTCAGACAATACAATTAAGACATCACCTTATGTAGATACCCAGCGAAAAGGTGACCCGATCCACCTCTGAGTGCATGCTGCATGAGTTCTGTCAGAAAACATTTGGTTAACAGCAGGAGCACAACAGTACAGGTGTGTGAGGTCCAAAATCTTGCCATATGCACAGCCTGATGCATTTTAAAAGCCTCATTTATGTGCAACTTTTCGTCTCTGGACACATGCAGATATTCAGTACTGGATGACTTTGGAATGTTAAATCATACATAAAAAGGTTTTGAAGGATCGTGCAGGAGAAGCTAGTGTCGGTAAATTGTCAGTAGTTGGCTGCGTCGTTGGTGAGTAGTTGGTATACAATCTACTGCCAGTATGCTGCTGACTTTCTTTCAGATCCCTTACAGTGCTCAGGTATTGTGTCAGCTATTAATTGCAAAGATACGCACTGATAGAGGATGCCAACTCAAATCCCTGGACTTGCTGGGAAAATGTGCACATGCACAGCAAATCACATGACAATTAGCTCATGAGGAATGAGGTGTGAATTGCCCCATCACAAATGTGTGGTCAGCTAAATGTCTGTGGTTCAACAAGGATAAACATGCATGTTTACAAGTACACACACACACACACACACCTCTATGACTTCCAGGTAGTCCCTTACACAATAATCTAGAACGTGTTTCATTTGGTGGGTATTCTCATAGACATAATTAGACAAAATTAGTGGCCTCTGGGCCTCTAATTGTGTGACAGAGATTTGTCTCAGCTGTGAAATTTCTCTTTTAACTGATGCTCAAATGAGGTGCAAAACTGTCATTTTTCTCTCCATCCAGATAAAAGCCTCTGAATGTCAAAATGACATTTCAGAGACAGCTCATAGCTGGAAAATTATGGGACTGTTAACCATGTTATTCTTAAAGGGACACCCACGTGTTATAAAACAAATGGTTCAGTATAATTTCAGCTGTATGCATCAATCTTTTGATTGATCTCTATCTAGTTGTATTGTTATTGATGGTTTACTACATATCACTACATTTACTTTAAGCAAAACATAAAAACTTGGTCAGGTTTATGTGTATGGTTTTGAATCAGTTTAAAGCTCATTAAATGTCAATGTAAATATCTTTGTTTTCCACCTCTGAACAGGTATTCAGCCGGCATTGTGAATCACAGCTACATCATCACTTTCTTCATCACCTGTTTCATTCTGCCTCTTGGAGTAATATTTTTCTGCTATGGAAAGCTCCTGCGGAAGCTCAGGAAGGTCAGTATGAGTTCTAACACAACATGAAATTTCATAAATTAATGATTCCCATCATTAATTCATAGGGCTATGCACGTTAACGCGTTTATTATCGCTCAAGAACGTGCTGCTCGGTGAGCTCTGTGAATTGGAAATAGAAATAGCTTTACTGCAACACAACTGCTGTCCACGAATACGTGAAGCAGCATGACCATGTCAAGCGAAAGTATCCCAGAGCTCTGACGGCAACACAAGCACGGCAATCCTGTTAAGATGTATTTCTTCATCGCCTTCATGTTAAAAGTAATTTCTGCCCCGCTGCTGTCATGGTAATGTAACGTTACACTGCGTGTCATCTATCGTTCGGCCGTTTATATTTTCTGTTTATTTAACGGCCACATATGAGCAAGAAAACAACTGAATCTAACATTGCAGACAATCTGTGACTTTCTGTATAGTCTCTGAATCATTATTAATTAATGTCTGTCACATCAGTGACGTGGAAATTGGGTTCATTTTAAGATATGCAACTATTGTCATTATTCTAATGGGCTTCATCAGGACGATTGAATAAAATATAGATTTATTGATTAGACATGTTTTTGATACTTATTTTGGATAAATTGTTAAAAATGTTAATCGAGTAATATAACTTTTTTTCCCCTTTAGAATACACAAAATTTGTCTTAGATTAATCGACTTGAAAAATAATCGTTATGTACAGCCCTAATTTTATCGCACGTTAACGCAGTTTTTATTTTTTTATTTTGAAAGTCTGTTGCTCACTGGCTCTGAATACACATCCAGTCAAACCATGGGTCACAGGAGGGGTGGGATGTTGATCAGCCTGCAAATCACCCACCCAAACAAGCAGTGGAGGGCAGACTACACTGGATGCAGTGTGTGGGAGAAGTAGATAAACAAAAGCAAGACAAGTGATCAAATGCCATAACGAAGTGGATAGCTACACACTGCATGCTGATTAGTATTGGGGAAGATGTCGGTCTTAGGAACGTTCTTAAAACCACAACGTAGTCGCATGCAAATTCCCTCTTGTTGATGTCCTCTTTAGTAGTAATAGATTCTGGAAACTCACAAACAGCGAGGATCAGTCTCTCTTCCGTTGATTTGTGCTCTGCGTCGCATACAAAAAGTGTGCGTGAGGCGACCACTTCACCTCACTCTAACAGGGACACTACTGAACATGGACTGTTTATGCTGCTCCCTGATAAAAGAAAAATGTTTCAGCTGATACCTGTTCAGAAAAAAACAACAACAAGAAAACTTATAGATGTTAACCTGTTGCTCAGTAGGTAAAATGTTATGATGTTATGATGGTGGCTCTGGACTCTAACTTGTTTTAACAAGCTATAAAAGGTAATGCCCAGGCAGTGGCAAATAGCTTTGGTTTTATATTTGATTTGATTACATTAATGTTTAACTTGAGATTTACAACAAATATTTTATTGCTACTGTGTAAAGGGAATACTGCTGGTAAAAAGCTTTAGAATTCATTATTCAATTTTGCGCAGACAAAATCACGTTATTAATCATGATTAAAGATTTTAATCGTTGCCTAGCCCTATTAATTTATTAAATTTACTTTATAAATACAGCTCAGACTCTCAGTCATGTTTAGGAAATTTGTAAAATGATTACCCTGTAAATGTATTTCCCCCTGTTCCTGTTCCTATAAAAAGTGAGGTGGTAGCTGATTTTTATGAATGCACAAATGTTTTTTTTCCCCACTCCATATATCTAAAAATGAAAAGTAAATGCTGTTTCTGGTCAGTAACTCCCATTTCTTAGTGGCCAAGCTGCAGATTTTGGGTTAATTGACCCACAGTACGTGGATGGAGGGGTGCAATAAGGGCTATCTGCAACAAACTGTGATGTCAAATTAAAGATGCCCTGTAGAGTTTTTATTATATTAATAGTAAATTAATCCTTCATGTAAGACAGCAATGAATCTGGGAGACTCCCTATGAATAAATAAGAGTGATATGCCTAATAACATAAACTGATTAGTGTGGCTTAATATCTTATGGTAGTCTAAGATCTCAAATCTCAAATTATGTGAGACTCAAATTAAATATTTATTACAGAATGAATGTATTCTTACTTAAAATCTTTTTTAAAGTTGTATATTTTGGAGTATTAAAATAAAATAATTTGGTCCAAGTGTCAGGAAAACCTATGTTTGTTCTTCTTCTAATAGATTCACTCTGATAAATTACTCATAGTTCTCTGTTTACTCCAGGTATCTCATGGTCGTCTAGCTACGGCCAAGAAGCCAGAGCGGCAGGTGACCCGTATGGTGGTGGTGATGATTGTGGCATTCATGGTGGGCTGGACTCCGTACGCAATCTTCGCCATACTGGTCACAGCTCATCCAACTATTGAACTCGACCCCAGGATGGCCTCTATCCCTGCCTTCTTTTCCAAGACAGCTGCTGTCTATAATCCGATCATCTACGTCTTCATGAACAAACAGGTAACTACGTTTTCATGTTAGAAAGGAATACTACTTGATTCAGCCATTTTTATCCAGTTTGCTTGGTAAATTCAAGTATTTTTGAAACGCCCAATGGCAAACTAGTTAGGGCAGTGTTGTTAAACTTCTTCCTTTGCCAGAGTTGAGACACATTGCTGTATGCAGCAGATGGAAGCTGATGCAGAATACTGAGGTGTTTTTTTCCTGTTGTTATTGGGTGTTAGCCCGTCTCTCAATAATGCATGGTGTATGAATAAAAGAAACATGAAAGCCAGAGAGTACAATTGTTCATGTGTGACTCTGTTAAAAAATTCACTAGCCACCTATGGTTTGCTTGTGAAGCTTGCAATTGTGAAACGGCCAGTGCTGACATTTTTTCATGCTTTGTTTAATTTTACATTGTGCTGTCTAGCTCTTTTTCTTAGTGTAAGTGAGACACACACTCTTTGGGAAATCTTTATTGACTTCACAAAGATTGACTCTATGACAGCAGCCAGTGGAAAAGATTGATTATGTGCAGTTCATGCATGTATGTATGCACTGTATGTGCAGACATATGTTTTTTGGTTAAAAGGCCTGCCCATAAGTTTCTAGATTCCTTTTGAATTCATAGTTTAACACATTGCTATTTTTTTTGGCTATCTTTGTAAAACAAACCATTGTTTTTCAGAGTAACAGTAAGCATTTTGTTGTTGCACACTGGCATTTGCCTTCCATGGTGATTACTAAAGTGATTGATAGTGTTCCACCAAAGACGTAAATAACTGATTTAAGGACCTATTTATTGGCAGATGTAACAGCCTAATGGGACTTTTAATTTCTTTAATCAAGGTACATGTGCTAAAAAGGTAAGATATATCTGCAACTGGAGCCAGAGTAGAGCGTCAATCCAGGCCATGTCCAATTCAGTTCACATGTCAAATGTCAGTTATTGAGTGGATACATGATAAGAGACTGTCCTACTTACTGTAGACAAAAGATTGATGTAGTTTATAGTCTATATTTTGCTCAAATGTCGTTCAACTCGGACAGAGAACCACACACTTGACTATGCTACGCCGCATGCATTTTCCCTTTTCCACTTCTCTGAGCGTGGTGTGCTTATAGAAAACATGCTGTTAGGTGAATCGTGTGGGTTTGAAATGTAGCTGCACTTTAGATACAGTATGAGAAAATATACAGGTATTTATTTAAAATTATAATGCTATACAATTACAACATCTACATTTGTGGATCATTTGTGTCAAGTATTCATGCATGCTGACAAAACAGCACCCTAAAAGCAGAGTGAAGCCATTAAGACTATTTCTTGTCTATTTTCATCAACCTGCACACAAGTTGATGACTTGCTGTAATTGCACCTACAGTATGTAAATGTATGTTTTTTTCAGTGGCGACTAAAGCTGTGATGGCAAATGCATGATGTGATCACATTATCTTATCATTAATACAATACTGTGGCAGTTTTGTGAATGATCTGTTCCTCTGTTGATGCACAGTGGGACAATTGCATCATACTCTACACAAAATAGTTTTTGTGTGCAGAAATAAACCTCACAGTGTCCTTAGGCACTGATACCCTGCAGGGCTGACAGCACCTAGAATGCTGGACTCACCAACTTTGGCTGTTTTGTATCTCTAGTAAACATGAGCATGCTGTGTCCAACTTACTTACATCACATCCATTTTCTTTACCTCTTGCTGCAGTTACTGTTCACAGTTGTCCTGTGAAGCTCTATTTATACTTACATATAAAACTGAAGCTTCCTAAAGTTCTTTAAGAACATTTTCGTGTTAACATGTATTCCTTCACATTTTCACATTGCGTGATTGTCTGCAGCAAGTTTCTATTATACATGACAGGTTTAGTTTTTTAGTAAAATGACAGTTTTACGTACAGTAAAACTGTCAAAGGCAGTTATGACAAACATGTGAGACTTGTCTACGGTGCTATTTAAGTGGTCCATTTTCAGATATGGTAATAGAAGTCCAGCTATACGTATATGTACTTGGCATGATGCTTAGATCAGACCTCCCTTGCCAGGGAACTGCATGCAGTCTGCATTTCCATCTGATTGCCCTAATTCTGAGCTACACTCGCTGTTTAAATGGGTCAGCCAGTGCCTCCACCAAGACATCGATAGGATGTAAATAAGGACAGCTAGCAGGCAGATTCTGGTTTGAGCAGAGCACCTGGGACTTCAGCCAAATTGCTAGTACTTTTGCGAGTACTAGAAGTCAGTTGACCTCTAGTGAGTGGTCTCTCTGTGTGTCTCTTTCTGGGTTACATAATAAGGTGAGGTGAGTCTCAGGGGATTTCCGCGATGCATGGCCACTGCTACTTGGAGTAGCAATTTTAGATTGAGATAGTCTCCTGGGATTTCTTAGGCTAAAAAGTTGAAGGTGAAAAAACATTCATTCAAATATTCATTTCTCACTTCTACTAGTATTATTTTTCACATGAGGCGTGATTTGATTGTCAATGTCATACTGCATGATCAATAGGAAAGGCAAATCAGAGATCTAAAAATAAACCATGTAAGAAAATTAAGCCTGGACTGTTTTGACGATATATATGCTATTTAGATTAATAAATTCATGTTTTGCCTGCTAGGACCTTTTATTGATCTGTTTTAAGAAAATTCTTCTCCTACCCCTAATGCCATGTATGGATTAAGGCTGAACCCTAATAGTCGAAGAGTCGATGCTTCGATGGGCGGAGCCTGATTTGACTGTCAATCTCACAGTCAAAGCTTAGCAGGGAAACTAGGATTGTGCCATTTTGGCGATACGGGGGTGCTCAACATCTGATTTTTTTAGATAGAATTACCTGTTTTCTATCTAAGTTAATATACAGCCTATTACAATATACATTCCAACAGTTAATGCTGTAAATAAACATGTAAAAAGAAAAAAACTTTCAATAAATGTTTTTAAAGTGTGTGAATAAATCCAAAATTGTAACCCATGCAGTTGTTGGCAGCACGGAATGCACGCTAAACTCTGCACAAGACCAGAGAATGACAGGCGAGAGAGAGAGAGAGAGAAAAGGGTCTTCATAAAGCCTCAGTTAAGCTGGCAATTTACAGTGTAAGTTGAATGATTAGAGAGTGCAGCTCTGCAGCTTCTCAAGATTAAAGCGGAGCAATCGGCACACACAAAAACACACATGATTCGACTATCAGTCGACTATAGGCAGGACTTGACGATTCTGGTTGGACTATTACTGTCAATTTGCATACTTGGTCAGTGGAAAAAAAATATAATGAGTGCAAGGTGCATAGCCTACATCCGCCATTGCTCATGGACGATCTCGACGTCTATCGGCCCAACCTTAACCGCTACTGCTCGTGCACATCCTGCACATCCCTCCTTCGCACACATTTTCTCACTCAGTCAAGCACAATGTCTTCAGCTTGTGGCTTTAGAAGTTTTGCAAACACAATGTCTGAGAACAAACACCAGCAATGAAAGAACTACCCATTCTTCAGCCGACAATAGTGCATAAATTCAAAACATGTGTGGGATCATTTCCCAGCTCCACACGGAACTTCTGACTCTTTATGTTCGATGCCATGGCGCTCGAATTGACGAGTGGCAAAGAGGCATAACAGTGGAGAATAACTTTTAAGGGGGACAGTAGTGTACTAGATTCTAATGCAGCTGTTAGACATCATCACAGCTGTCTCTGAAGCCTAGGGCATTCTACCCGGGGCTGCAAAGCATTGGAGTGGCGAGACTCTTCTATCCAAGCAGGAAGCTGCTGGATTTGATTTGAGCATTTGATTTACCACCTCAGTAAACACTTCATTAATGAGATTATGGTCTCAATTTCTACTTTAAAGTTTTCCTCAACACAGCATGATGTTCATTTTGAAAATTATACTCCCTTTTAGAGTAAAATAGATGATGAAGCAAGGCATGCTTTAGGGCGTGGCTACCTTGTGATGGACAAGTTACTACACAGAGACTTTTCAGGTGTAGAAATGCAAATACCTCCACAGCTCCACCCTTTCCAAATGTAGTCATTTCTGGTTCCAAAAAACCCAAGATGGCAACTGCCAAAATGCCAAACTCAAGTCTTAAAAATGGTAATCTGCAAGTCTGTAATCAAAGTCTGTAGTCAAAAGGCTGTATGAGGAGCTGGATACCATGTTGTGACATATTTGGCTTAACAAGGGAGTTTTAATATAGTCCTTTGTCATTTTTATTATTTATATAATTATGTATGTATATATATTTGCCACCAGGCTGGACATGGGAGCATAAATGGGGGTGGTGGGGGGCACAAACATCAGACATCACTGAGAAAGGAAAGTATCTGCAAGAGAACAGGGGTGGGGGATGGGGGTGACAACAGGAAATAGAGAAAATATACTAATCGCTGAAAGGGAAGACACCTGTAAGAGAACGGGGAAAACAGGAGACAACCAGCTGAACAACAGCACTAAACAGCCGACATAAGAAACAACTAAGGGAGAATGAAAAGTGCGTCACCGCCCTGCGTGGTAACTAAGGCGCAGTTAAAATTGAGGGGTAATCGCGACATGGGCAGCACAACTGAAAGGCAGTGCAGCCTCCCAACGAGCCCCGCCCACCAAACGCCCCGCAGCATGCCTGGCCCCAGAGTCCTAAGGGTGGATTTAGTGAGACACTACTGGAAGGGAGGTGGAAGAGGTCACAGGGAGGCTAGGCAGAAATGGTCATTCCCACTGGGCAATTTGGGCAATTTCAGAATTCATACACCTGTTGATAGGGATGACACAATGAATGAACAATAACTGAATGGTGGTGGGTGGCGCAATGGAAAAGATGGCTGCCTTTTGTGTGAGAGACCCGGGTTCAATCCACCAGTGTGTCCCTGAGCAAGATACTTCAATGTATAGCAATTGTAAGTCACTCTGGATAAAAGCGTCAGATAAATGTAAATGAATCAGCACAGGCTTTACTCCATCTCATCCTTTCTGCCTCATTCTGAATTTTGAGCATCATCAAAATTCCTTCTACAAAGCAAAATGTTAAACTGTTATCTAGCAGTAGGTTGAAGCATCAAAGGTATTTTCATGATCTCATGATATCTGCTGTCTGCCCAACAGTAAACCAACATTTAAACACAATATTTACACAGACTGTACACTCTACCCTGTACTTCTTCTCTGCGCGCTAACTATGGCAGGCCAGGTCAGCGGTTTTGCCCCAAGCAAACTTTTTATCCTTTTATACATAAAGTCAGTGAGAAAACAAAAATAACTTTGAAGATACAAGAAAGCTCTATGGCCAAAGTGTAGAGTATCATACAGAGTGCTGAGGTCACAAATGGAGCTACCGAGCACCAAATGCAGACAGAAAACGTTAAGCAATTAGCTGGTGAACATAGTGTAGCACTTAGCAGCTAACGAGCAGATATTATAACTCTGAAGTTAGTGGAGACAAAAACAGAGCTAAAAGGACAGTGAACATTGGACTTACTTTCTTACTTTCTTATGTACTTACTTACTTGCTTAATGTAAGTAAGTGAACTGTGCTGCACCAGGAAACAACTTGAATAAAGTAAAAGATTGCTAACTTTGCAACATGTAAGCTGGATGTGTAAATAGTTGATTGCTAACACATTTGCCAACAACTATTCACTAGAAACCAGAAAGGTCATACTGTATATTAGATGTCTTGTTTTACACTTTGTTGCGTTGCCCCCGAACTGCCAAAAAGATAATAAATGCATTTGTAAGTACCGATATAACACACCTGACACAAAAGGCACATATCCAAGTTTCTGCACCAGCATTCCCTTTGTCCGATCAAATTGCAGTGATTTTTTTCTGTAAAACTGCATCCTTTATTGTGAGAGGTTGTGGTCCAGTTAAATTTAAGAATAAACATTACAATTAATTAATTATGCCAATATCCATCGCTACAGCACATAATGCTAAAAATAAGCTTACTCAGACTGTTCACGTCGCCATTAAGATAACATGTACTTAATCTTACTCTGACTGTTTTAAAAGCTATATTTTTCAAAGTTAGAAGGAGGTGTTATGCAAGCACTAGATGTAAGGGGTTTAAGGTCCCAGAGTGAACAAAGCCACAGACTGCAACATTAAAGCCTTATGTGTTTTGATGACATTAGAGGGCCACTCTTTGAAAGCATTACCGGTTTGACGGAAGCAGTTAGGAGGCTTGTGTGTTAAATTTAGACAGGTCATTAAGGGTCAGGAATGATGCTTTCTCCCCCAGGGCTTCACAAAGTGGGAGCTTCAACACTGAAAAAAGGTCAATAGTGTTTAGATTTAAAGTAATGTGGAAACCAATGATTGTGATGCTATTAGTGAGGACCGGTTGAAAATGGCTGTGTTCTTCCAAGAAAAAACTGTGACAAGATGTCATTGTCACTGCCATTGTGTACGTGTGTGTGTGTGTCTGACAGGGCTATGCAGACAAAGTTGCTCATTGTGTAACATGCCGACTGATGGTCTTTGATTGTTCGGAGTAGAAATGTGTTTGACCACAAAAAAATTATATTCTGGAATTATTGATTTTATGCACATCACTCAGAGCAGAGCCAGGTATTAACCTATACACTAGGAGGTGTATAGGCATGACTACACAGGAAGTTTCTGATGTAACAGATACACTTCTTTTTTAAACAATCCAGCTGTCTACACAGGCTGCGTAACAGTTTGTGGTTCACCTCATATTTATCTGGGCGTAGTTTTAGTGTTACAGCAAACCAAATAAGGTCTGAGTCTGCAGACTTGCTTTGTGGAGTGCCTCAAGGCTCTGTTCTGGGCCCCGTTTTATTTTTGTTGTATTTGATCCCTTTGGGAAAGATCATACAAAGGTTCAATGATGTTTCTTTTCATCTATTTGCTGATGATATCCAACTTTACTGCTGCTTCAAGCCGTCAGAGATCTGGAAGTTAAACTCCTTGCTCCATTGTCTTGTGGAAATTAAAAAATGGCTAAGTGAAAACTCCCTGCAGCTAAATGCAGACAAAACAGAAACATTAATCATTGCCCCTGAGGATGCAATTCCAGGAATTAAACAATACTTGGGTGATTTAGGCCAGTCTGCTAAGCAAAGTCTTAGAAATTTGGGAGTTGTCCTGGACAAAGACATGTCGTTAGTGCAGCACTGCAAGCAGCTGACGAGAAACTGCTTCTTTCAATTAAGGAAAATCTCAAAACTTAGAAATATAGTTTCAAGAAATGATTTGGAGCTAATCATTCACGCCTTTGTGTCGTCGCGGTTAGACTATTGTAATAGTTTATTTTTATGCCTAAACCAGAAGGAGCTCTCTCGACTGCAATTAGTACAAAACTCTGCAGCCAGAATTTTAACACGTACTAATAGGAGGTCTCACATATCACCAATCCTAAAAGAACTTCATTGGCTACCAGTGTCTTATAGGATAAATTTTAAAATTTTGGTTTTAGTTTTCAGAGCTTTACATGGCCAGGCTCCACCCTATATTAGTGACCTGATTCAGCGTTATACCCCTGTGCGTGCTCTGAGGTCTGTGGATCAGAACCTGCTGACGGTTCCACGCACTCGCTACCGTACTAGAGGTGACCGATCTTTTCAGGCTGTTGCCCCTAGGTTGTGGAATGACCTTCCACCATCTATGCGCTCTTCTGATTCTGTTGATGCCTTCAAATGCAGACTAAAGACACATTTATTTGTTCAGGCTTTCAATTAGCTACTTGTGGGTTGATATGATCATGTACTGTCTATGCTTTATTGTGTGTATTTTATGATATTAATGTTTTTGTTGTGAAGCACTTTGTGGCCCTATACCTGTGAAAGGTGCTATAGAAATAAACTTTTACTTACTTACTTACTTACTTGTGTTTTGCTCACAGTAAATGCAAAACCAAAGCGTATTTATACACTTAAAAGTCCAATTTCTTTTTGTTTTATGTGTTTTAACTACAGTTATTTTGTTCTGGGCTCTGAGCACTGCTAAAACATGCGTGGCCTACAGTCAAAACTGTGCTTGACTGTGCCTGTGGCTACGCATCCAGTTTAGATACAGATGCTCTTCTAATGTGTTGCTTTTGGCTAGACGGGCTGTGTAGACATGTGTTCAAGAGAGATGTGAATCTCTCTTGAACATGTTTTTACATTTCATTTGTATACAGATTACAAAATGTTAATTAGTGAGCTTGAGAGGTGCTGGTAGTTGTATTTTTGAACTTTAGACAGAGCCAGGCAAGCTGTTCCCCATTGCCTGCAAGCTAAGCTAAACTAAACTGAGAGGGATATTGATCTTTTCAGTAATGCCCAAAATGTTGCACTATTCCTTTGCAAACTTTTTTTCATGTCCTATAAATACGGTCCCTAAAATATATTAATGCTAACTGCTTTTAATTCCCTTGTTTTTTGTCTAGTTCCGGAAGTGCCTAATCCAGCTCTTCACCGGCAGGGGGACTATCCCAGACAGCAATATGAACCAGACCTCAGAGCGACCTGGAATTACTGCAGAGAGTCAAACAGGAGAAATGTCAGCCATTGCTGCCCGTATCCCCGAGGGTGGCAATGTGTCGCCCAGGTCTGACGGTTCTCCAACCAACTGTGGCTCGTTTGCCCAGCTGCCTATCCCGGAGAACAAAGTGTGTCCAATGTAACCTTGTCCCAACAGGTGTTCTCTTACTGGGTCCATAATACCCTTCTTTAACCTTCTGTGTCTCTACATACAGTGTGTTTCGGAGCCTGTTTGGACTACAGGAGAACTTTAATTTTGTTCATTTCTTGCGGAGATGTAGGGTGCAGCGTGAAGAACAGAGAGTAAACCTTTGAAGGGTTTTCATTGTTGATGATGATTGTAGCATTTTTAAAATGTATTTCACTTGCAAAAGTAATTAAGGACAGAAACAAAACATCAGAAACTAGAGAAAAGGTTTGGATTCCTGCATTTATGCATCAGTAGTTTGTTCAGTATTTGATTAAAAAAGAACAACAGAGGGCACAAGAAGGAACTATATAGATTGAAATGCTCAAAGCGTTACCCCATATCTTGTAAATATTTGCGTGCTGGACACCTTCTTGTTATTTGAGGAGATCTTGGATGTTCACTTGACCATCATGGCACACCTGCTAGTGTGTCACATTAGAGGGCACTTGATTCGACTTGATAGAGTCTGCCTTGATATCCCAATAAAAAAAGAGACTCCTAAAAACACAAACTTTGACATCAGTTTATTGAGGGCTAGCCAGTGTTTCCAGTCCACAATGCATCCTGCCTTTCATCTCGTCCTCACGTTCTCCTTTGAAGCCCTGTGATGGAGCCTTTAGAGAAAGCGTTGTTTTTCTATGCTGTTTCAGTACTTTGCTTTGGCAGCGCATCTTCATTCATCTCTGCTCGTCAAGAGGACAGAGCAGTCTTTTGAATTTAGATACTTTTACTTTAGTTTATCCCATGTTGACTTTTTTTGGGTCAAAGCTTTCATATTTAGTGAAAATGGTCAGTGGGACTTGGAAATGCCAGTCTCCTGTTACCTCAGTTGCAGATGTAGAACAACAACTGCCAGCAGGGAACGAACAAACACAAACATGCACACAACTCCAAGCAGCACATACACAGGCGCCGATGATGTTGGTGCTCCGGTGCTCGAACCCATTGTAAAGGTTGAGCACATACGAGGATGCAAAAAACAGCATCTTTAAGAAAACTACATGTATTTATTACATTATTACTATTATCTGTGAACGCTTAACTATATATAATCTCCCTAACTATAAATCGTATTATCCAATTAAATGTTTCACAGCTCTGTGCGTGTGTACGTTATCGATAAAGATAACCAAGATAGAAATATCCTTCAAAAATCTCAAATCTATTTCCCCCTCTGCTCCTTCAGCCTCCTCTCCCCCACTGTTTGATAATCCCTCAGATCTTGTCAACTATTATAATGACACACTCTCCTCCTGTTTTGATGAGCTGGATCCCATTAAAACCAAAACAAAAGTGTCTGATTCATACACTTGGCTCCCTGGTATAATCCTGAACTCAGCAAAATGAAATCCCATCTGTGCCAGCTTGAAAGACTCTGCAAGAAAAACTGATTCAACAGTGGATCTTCAAGCCTACACAGACTATCTTCAACGATACAAAGATGGTCTCATTACAGCCCGGTCCACCTACTTCTCACACCTCATACACTCCGGGTCCATCAACACCAAGGCTCTCTTTTCCACAATAAACAAGCTTCTGAAACCCAGTGACAACACCTCCAAATCCTTCAGAGCTGACAAGTGAAAATCTTTCCATTTCCTTTCCAAATAAAAATTGACACCATCTACAGCAACCATCTGCCCCACTCTGCTGCCACTCAGTCCATGTCTGAGTTCTTCCCTGTGTCACCAATGGAGCTGTCCACCTTCATGGTAGGAATGAGAAACTTCACTCATCTTCTGGATCCCATCCCATCTAATCTTTTTTATGTACTGTCTCTCAGCTATCTAGTCACAGAAATCATTACATCCTCCTTCAGCTGCGGTTCAGTCCCCCAAACATTCAAATTGGCTGCTGTTAACCCCATCCTCAAAAAAACCTGGACTCACCACTGATATCATATGCAATCTCACTTTTTTTACTAGAAGTACTGGGACGTATTGCTGCCTTCCAACGCGAAGCCCACCTCATCTCCAGCTCCCTGTTTGGACCATTTCAATGCGGTTTCCACTAACAGCACAGCACAGAAACAGGTCAAGTCACCAGTGACCTCCTCCTGTCCTGACTCTAGTTACCCCACCATTCTGATCCTCCTCAACTTAACTTTAGCTTTTGACACCTTCAACTACACTATTCTCTTCTCCCTCCCTCAACATCACCGGTACTGCCCCCTCCTGGCTAAGGTCATATCTCACAGTTCATCAACAACTGCACTTCCTCCAACGCTCCTCGGTTGCATGGCGTCCCCCAGGTTTCAGTGCTTGGTCCTCTACTGTTCATCCACTACATGCTCCACTTTAATAACATCATATGCTGTCACGGTCTCCACTTCCACTGCTACGCTGATGACGACCAGCTCTACGTCTCCACTAAATCCATCATCACTGCAACTCATTCCACTCTGGCCAACTTAAATCCTGAATGCAAGACATCTTCCTCAAACCAAACTCTGATAAATCAGACATGAACAGCATCAGTCCCTAAATCCCTCACTAAACTTCTGCCATCGATAACTACACTCTGTCTCCCTCCCAATACATGCGCAACCTCAGAGTAATTTTCAACAGCAACCTCTTCTTCGAACACCACGCCAATAAAATCACCTGAACTACCTTATTCCACCTAAAAAAACATAGCTCAGAGCCATCACTCTCATTCTCTGCTGCTGAAATTTAGATTCATGCCTTCATCACATCCAGAATTGACTACTGCATTGACTAACAGCATTCTTTATGGCACATCATCCAAAGTCCTAAATAAACTCCAGTATATCCAGAACTCTACTGCTCGCCCCCTCCTACATCACTCGTCCTTCAGAACATCCACTGCCCCCTTGTCCCACAACGGATCCAATTCAAAGTCCTTCTACTCACTCACAGAGCCCTCCATAATCAGGTGCCCTCCTACCTCAAGACCACCTCCAACACCACACTACTCCCCCCAGCCTTTGCTGGATTGAGCTGCATTGATGATTATTTTGGGTTCTGTACAATATTTGGCATGTCAAGGACTAGCAGCTTGACGACATGTAGACAATGAGTTAAACTAAATAGAGAAACTTTTTATTGGATTTTTACCAGACCACTAGCCCAACCGCTGACGCAATTTTTGAGCTGTTGAAGGACGTACTGCTGAGACTTTCCCTGCCTAACCTTAAACTGTAGAGGTCATTGTTATGATGGCGCTTGAATATGTCCAGTATTCCAAAGGGTCTCCAGGCATGTGTACAAGAACAGAAGGCTCAAGCAATGTAAGTCTATTGTGTTGCACATGTGGTGGTGTTATTGCAAGTATTAAGGTGTATTGTAAGTATTATGACTTCTCAAAATATTACCTCTTTATTAAATTAAATTTATATTAAATGTTTAATGTTTGACTAAATCATGCGTATATGTGTTGACTCAGCAGGAATGATATTAAATAAGAAAAGTTGATCCACGAGATAATACATATTTGAAAACAATGCCAATATATTTTGATTTTGTGGATTGTCACCTGCCACCTAAATTTTGATTTTGTGTTTCCCTTTACATAATAAAGACATTTCCACCATAAATTGATGCAGAAAAACAGAAATTGGTGGTGGGGGTCAGAAAGACTTAATATGTGCTCCTTCCAGTGTTGAAATGAAACCTATGCAATTGCATGACCTGATAACACTGACACAAAATTCACCAAAACGAATTGCTTGGAGTTCTGCAGCGAAGACACCTGTCTGTACGACCTCTGTGCTCAAAGTACTGGATGGTGAAAGCTGCTTCTCTACAGTGAATTGCATCAAATTACAGTACGCTAAAGAGAGTCTCTTGAAAACCTGTCTTCAGAAGATACGGGTGAAGCAGGCAGCAAAGCAGGCGGTTTACTTCAGCACCTGCAGAAGTTCGGTACATTTTTCTCATCAAAGCTGATTTTTTCTGCTTGCAGAAATGGCCAATGGCCACTGCAAAACAAAAAGTTTTCTAGCTCATTGAAATGCGACACAAGGATATCAAGCATCTTTGTGAAATGGATTTGAAGTTGTTTTTTTTTTTAAACACAAATGCAGCTGCTAATGATCTCAATGTGGAGAGCCCAGCTCTGCCAAGGCCAAGAAAAACCCCATGTTGACTGGAGGTGCACCATCACAGACAGCAATTTTACCAGGTAATGGACACTGCAACAACATCTTTGTATTGCAGCTTCATTCACTCTGCATTCAAACACGTGCAATATCGAGGATTTTTTGAGGGTAAAGGGTGACCATGAGAGCATTACGGAGTTCCATGGAGATGATCTGGATAAAGGCAGGCTGACACTTCATCGTAATATGTTCAATGACATATCTAAACAAGGGTGTGTTTGCCTGACAACTTTTTGTGATGCTCTGGATTTCCTGATGGGACAACAAGGGAGAGCCACTGAGGACCCCGCAGTCAAAACTCACCAGATCAATCAGACTTGGACTCACCGTTCCTGTGACCTCTTGCACTGTCCTAAAACTTATCTACGCCTCAGGATGGGGCAAGGAAGACTTAATTACCTTAAAGTATTGAACGGAAAAACCCTGGAAGGAGCAGAAACCTGGATGCCATAGCTGATGAGGTCATCAGACACACTGCTGTGAGAGAAAACACAGTCCTTCTTTGGAAATAGCCTGTAGCCAGTGGTGAGTGGCAAGTGTGAGCAAATGTTTTTTTCTTTCTATCTTTTACAATAGGCCACTGTGTAGGCTAGGCTTGTCATCTCAAAATTTGTTGTGAATGGATTTGAGTAAAATTCATAGTTGAATTGTTTGTGTAGCTATATTTCTTTTAGTTGAACTGAAAGATTAGGGTTAACTTGTGACTGTGTGGTGAATACCAAGTTATGGTATTCATATGTCTAGGTATTTTTTTCTTGTACTTGACACACACCAGCGAGTAGTCTTATGTTGTGGCATGTGTATGTAAATACTATCCCCTCAAGACTGTGTGCAGGTGTGGTGTAGCCTGTTAAATTTGCAGTAGAGCAGTGTCTCATTTCTTTGCGGTTTGTGTTTACGTCCGACAGACAACAGTCGCCTACATCAGGGTAATTACTAAAGCAAGTGCAATAAAAGTTGTTTTGTGACAATCAACACCGTGGTCATTTGGGCACCCAGGGGCTATAACATAAATCGGCGCCTATGAGCACATATTGTATATATACACACCACACATGCATGCACATACACACACACACACACACACACACACACACACACACACAAATTGCAGTATTATGATAAATACTCAACAGGCACTGTGATGAAGCAG